GTAAAACTGGTTAATGTTTCCTCCCCCATTAGTCCACGTGTCCCTGGAGGGCTACTGTTTGTGCAAGAATGAGAACAGGCTTTGGCAATAATATTATTCCTACTTTTAATTATTTATAGCTATCAAGCAGGGGTGTACGAGAGTCAGATTCTACTGGTTCAATTTTTAGGAAATTTGTGGATGGTACAGGCACCCACAGAGGCTAGGCACCTCAGGGAACATGACCATTACTAAAAATTAAATTGTGTCAACTTACAATTAAGCATATTAAAAACAAAAGAAATACTTTGTACTCAAGACTCATTACTTCCTAATTACTTCACTATATCTTATTGTTATCTATGCTCTTGATATTATTTGCGCCTATTATTTTGCACTCTATGTGGTAGAAATACTGCTGGTCTCTAACCAACTTCATGTTCAATGACATCACACTGGGAGCTTGAAATCAGCTAAGGTGGGAGCATTTATACCACAGAAATGGGCAAATGGTACAAATTAGCACTTCCTGCTTCCCCCAATCTATTATTAAACATATACTAGCACACCACTGGCTGTAAGAAGTTGGTGGGAACAAAAGGAGTTTTGTTATAGTGATGTGTTGACAGATAACCAAAATCGCATAGTGATCTATCACCAAAAATTATTTTAACGATCTATGTACTGACAACTAGATTAGGCCCTCCTTCAATTGTGTGGAAAGCAAGGATTGCAAAAACCATCCGACTTTGGAAAGTATTTCTTACTCTGACGTGAAATTCACTCATTTTCTCAGTTTATTTCTCAATCCTAGGGGAGTAGCTGGAAAAAATTGCTTACCTTTAAATCCGTGGGGTAAAATATGGTCGGCATTTGAAGCTTGCTTTACTGTCAAGGATCTCTGGAGCATGATATTTTCAACCTTTGATAATAATTAAGGGGGGGAAGAGGAGAGATCGTTCCCAACTGTCTACTCCACGAAGTGTATGAATTCACAGTTTGCCAACAGAGGCCAAAATACTCTGGTTATTAAGCCATGCCCCCGCCTTAGAAAGATACATATGGAAATCAGTCAAGGTGAGAGAGAAGTCTAGGCAAATTTGGTACTTGACTGATTATCATAGGATGCTTCCCCCTAATAATTCCAACAGTATCTGTACCTGGGAGCCCCAGAGGATTCCCACCTCCATTCCTTCCCTATTGCTTGGGAGAATTGCAGGGGTAAGGCAGACACACAACTCTCTTTTACAAAGGGTGGAAGCAGATCTGAGATAGACTTGCAGACTAGTTCTGAGAGAGATCAAACTTTTTCTGAAGTTCCAAATCCGGAAAACGAGTCCCTTGAAGCAGAGGTCAGCCATCCTAAGACCAAAAAGTCTGCCCATGGGTTGTTTTTGTTCAGCCTGCTGCTAAGAATGGCTTTTACATTTTTAAATGATTGGGGGAAAATTCAAAACAAGGATGCTTTCCTTTCGAGCTACGATGCCGGAGTTTGGAATTTGAGTTAAGCATTGCAAGAGACCGAATGGCCCGCAAAGACGAAAACATTTAGCTCTTTAAAGAAAACGTTTACTGACCCCTTAAGGCTATGCATGTTCACGTCCCGTTTGGAATGTGTTCCGTACCCTCCGAGGGGAGCGTTACCGGGTTTAAGGAGGGCTGGTCTAAACTGAAGCCCCTGGGCAAGTCCCTGTCCTCAACTTCCCCGGGTATAAAACGGGGTTAGACGCAGTGATCTCTGGGGACCTGCCTGGCAGGGCATCAAAGAAATAAACGGGACAGAGACTCGGGGTTGATCGGGAGCGGGCGGGCGGGCGCGCGCCGGGCGGATCCCTCGGGGTTTCCAGCCGCGTGGGCGGGCGCAGCGCCCCGAGGCCCAGCTTTCGCAGGGGAATTCCGGGCGGGGTGCGGCGGCGGGGC